CTACGCGGCCCAACCCCCGGGAGGGCGCCTCGCGCCCTCAGACCCGCTTCGCGGGCCATATACGCATATGCATGGGCAAAAATGTTCTTCCATTTTAATACACCATTTTGTGTTCGAGCTGCATCGATTTCAAAATTTTTGACGTAACCTTCAGATTTGTAAATGATGAGGAATAGCTGGATGTACATGATTTCACAGTCCACTTACTGGAGAAATGTCCGTTTATTATGTTATTTTTAAATACTTATTTTTTTTAAAAAAAAAATCGGATTTCGACCGTTAAGAGTTAATAATATTTGGTCCGTCCCGACGCACCGCAGCGCCTGCCTTCTCACTTTTTATCTGCTGTAAATATTAATAGAAATTCAGCAATCAAGTAGGTAAATTGACCAATGCCACAAATCGAAGCCGGAAGAATGCAGGAAAAATTGAGTTAAACCTTATACCTTGGACCTTGAACCCTGAGCAATGCACCGTTCCTCAACTCTTCGAATGAGGAGCCCTTCACGAGCTTTTCCATTGTTTTATTGTTTATTCGAGTCACTCAGGTAGAATCCCACACCTTGACGTTTCTAGCGGAAATGACATATCTCTCACGCTATTAACATTGGACTTAAGTGACATGAGCTTTAAAAGCTCTACAAAATTAAAAGTTCGGGGTTTCATAATTTTTTGCACATCTACATCTACTACAGATGACATACATGTAAAGATCATCCTTATCGGTCCGGCAGTTCGTCAGAAATAGTGCTTCCAATATTTTGCTTGTAGCTGTATAATATAGATATTTGCTAAAATGTAAAACATGTAATGGCTGTAATTTTCTTCTTTCTCTTGAAATCGTTGGGCAAGCAGTGCTTGCCTTGCTTATCCGGACCGCACGCCACTGGTTACGTTAAACAACCCCCCCCCCCCCCCCCCCCCCNGGGGGGGGGGGGGGGGGGGGTATTTTCAAACTTTTAGTATCGGAGTGAAAAGAAGTTATTCAAAGATAGATTTTACTAGTTCCGGTTGAAAATTCACGTTTTATTGTTGATTCTTGATGGTATGTTCATCGAAAATCCCATTTTTGACCTTACTTATGTTAATTGATTCACATCAATACGCGATTTTTCAGCCCAATCTCATTCCCTTACAACTGCACCTCTTCCCCTCTACCACCTTTTGAGTCATTTTGATACCATCTCTACACTTACCCTTTTCCACCCTTGGATGCCTTTTATTATTCAAGGGCAACTCTTTTTCAGCCCTTTTCTACTAGACCCAATATGAGAGTCGGCTGAGAAGAGCACAATTCTAGGAAGTAGTGATTTGGAAACTCATGGGTAAGGTAACTCTTAAACCCATGCAAAAGGGCGGACAAATATAACGAACACTTCACTCAAAAGTATTGATAGAACATATAGTAGGTATTACTTAATGTTCTCTCCATTAAATGCCCAACATTTGTAAGCAAACCCAGCCCACCAAGCCCTTTTTTATTTGAATAACAGCTTTTTTCTAACTCCGACCAACAATTCATAAACTCCACGAATGATAAATTTCGGTCAAACGAGCAAAAGCAAAACGAAAATTGACTTCTACGATGAAAATACTGAAGAAATCCAACTGATTGTATCAGTGACGTGGCGTCCATTAGCTTCGCAGTGTTCGCCGAACAACCGAACAAAATCTTTTGAAACAATTAGTAAGTATTGCTAAGAATGTGGGAAACAATACAGAATTAGATGACCGCAAATAATTATTGGGCGCTTGGCTTCCGATGCCTGCGGCATGCGGCGGAGAGAGAAAATCCTGCGACAGGGGACAGGAAGAGAGCGAGAGGGGAACACAATGATGAAGGGGCAAGGGGTAGGGTAGAGGTGAGGCGCCGCGGGGGGCAGAGCAGAGCGGGTCACTTCTGACCGCGCTCGCGGAGTAAACTTAGCAAAGAGAAAAGGGATGCAGGGAGAGAGCGGGAGAGGAGAGGGAGGAGAGCCGCTCATCCGTTCAGAGCTGTTTCTGCTGCAAACCGCCGAATTTCCTCATTCCGATTCGTCCTCCGCTTCCCCCCCCCCCCCCCCCCCCCCCNCCTGCGCCTGCGGGCGGCGCGCGGAGCGGGCCGCATCTCTCAGTTCTGCTGCATCTGCATTCTCTCTCCCATTTCTTCCTGCAGGTGCGTGTTGCGAAATTAAGCTATCACTTAAGGGTGATTTCTCGATAAAAGGAGTAGTCGTGTCGCCATGGGTTACAAACGACCTAAAGCCAAACGATTGAAAACCAAGTTGATAAATCAATAGGAATGATGTCCGTGAACTTATCCATACTGAACACTATGATTAGTTATGATTGTATCATCATCATCATTAATATAAACTTCGAAGGATTCAGACTTGCACCGATTCTACCTTTTTCTATTTCACTCGAGAGATTGCCAGATTGTGCGATAAATGTGAATATTTTACATGGATTTGGATTGGGAAAAAGTGCTAAAAAAGCAACTTGTCAGGCAACAATAGAGTCCGGGAGGGACGAGAGGCTGCCTTCCTGGGAAAACCCATGATTCATTCGGAAATGTCATTAAACAATTGATTCCGTTTGAAGCATCAATTGTGTACTA